TCGACCTAAAAAACAGAGATAAAACCTCAATAAAGGCTAAAAAAACTCTAGAAAAGCGTTAAGTGCCTAAATGTTTACATTTCTGCAACAGAAAATACAGAATTACAACGATTGTAAGATAACAAAAATTTGATGTTCGTGGTGCCTTTGCAGCGCGTAGACTGAAATAACCTCGTACGCACTGTAATACTGCCCTCACAGGCCAATACAACAATAATTTCACTTTATACGTTGTAACACATGAAATTGCACGTTTTATTCGCACCTTTGGCTTCCTTAACAAACATGATATAACACTGTGTAATTTCTGTGTGTGGGACGCTGCCACCTTTATTCCATTCTAGACTGAACAAAGAAAGGGCAAGGATAGATTAATGTTTTCAAGTGCCCAAACTATTAGAAACTTTAAGAATGCTATCTAAATCATATGGAACATCGGACTTCCACCTACCATGCAATTTTAGCTGGCGATCACTGACCCCAGCTTGAGCAGCTGCAGTTGTTCCCCCTATTCTAAATGAGTGTGTCCCAAAACTGGAAACGTCCTGTACCACTAAACATAGCTTTTCATGTACAATTTCTCTAATACGAGAGTAACTTAACTTCTTATTAACATTAACAAGTTAATAATGACCTTTTGATACAAATAATGGTCTAAATAAAAACTTGCTTTGATCCTTTACAGGATCCAGATATGAAAAATATTGCTCCAGCTTAAAACGGGGCATGCAACTTGAATGCTGCCTGTACGAGCAATGTAAACTGTGTTACCTTGTTTACGCTGATCTGTTTTACTCCTACTAATATAAATCTTAACATGAGAACTACGAATATTAACATCACAAAACTTGATGTTAACAACGTCGCTATATCTAAGAAAACCTGCGAATGCAAGGAGAAACAGACAGATGTCCCTAATGTCTTTTAACGATTTAGAATCCTTGAAACGTGTGACAATGTCGATAATAATGGCCGCAGTGACTGGTTGTTTATTCTTCACGGGTCTACCTATGAGACGTTTTGGTGAGGCAATTAGATTTCTAATAGCTAGATTATGTACCCGCTGAATACCGAAATTGGCAACCAGTATACCTTGCTTGGTTGCGCCCTTTTCTAAAGATTGCTGTATAAGCTGAGAAAAATACATAGATAAATGAGCTACCTGCACAGGGAAAATGAGAAAACTTAAGGTTTTAGCAAATTTAGTCCAGCAATGAAAGGCTGCTGCATAACACCTGGTAGTTGAATCTGCTTTTGATGCTAATGTGAACGTAGGTGATACTGTGGCCAATACAGTAAGTGCAGGGTTGTCACATGCTAAACTACTGATTTCTTTCCATATTCAGGCGCTGAACAAATTCATATCTGTAACAAATAAAATATTACTCAATCATTGTTGAATCATTGTTGTGACACGACAATCTGATATGCATCTAACGTGCGTGCGTGGACTGAAAACATATGTCCGCCTTATCGACCAATCACCTTACAAGCTGTTGCACACAATGCATTAGCCGAAGTGAAAACAAACTTTTGCGCTGCTCTTCTTTGCACCTTGAAGTCAAGTCTTACAGCCAGAATCCGAAATTTCAGTTTTACCTCCAAAGAGAGTGTTCTTAGTTCTACCATTACAAAAATCTGATTCGTCATTTGGCAAATCCATCCAATCGATATAACTGAACCACTAACGTTTTCTTACCCTTACATTCCTTCCAGTAATTCCCTACTTTGCCAATTAGGCAAACTGGCGGTAAATGACAGTTATGATCATTTCCCCAAAACTGTGTGAAAGCATCGACTGCTTTTGAATTAGGACACCAATACCGTGAATTAAAGCGCCCATATTTCGCATTATAAGAATTTTACTGTATTTCCTTGAAGAGCATGTGCAAAGTTACTAATATCCTGTACACTGCTTCTAATTCACGCCAAGCTGAACTTAAACCTGCTTCCTTTTCTGCCCATCTGCATCTGAATAAATTACTCTAGTTACATTGGCGGTGAACCTCATAGATATCCCATTTAATTCTACTAAATTTTGCTGCCAGAACTGTAAATCCTGCATTGCAGCAGGACACATGTGTGTTCAATGCCTGGTCATCAGAAAAAACATGTTACCAATACCAATCTTCATAGATATAACTTGACCGATAACGTTAGATACTTTGTTTAGCCTTTATTTAACTTCCGCCAATACTGTTAGATGTGGACAGCAGATTGCCCAATGTAACCAGCAATATTTGTAGGCGATATGCAGGGATAAAAATCTTACCCTGTGTCAAGTCAATTGAGCACCAAACCATGTTAACACCTGAACAGGTTTCCAGATACTTTTACTTTGATTAATAGTAAAACCAAAGACAATTAAATCCTTCTCAACCACAATCAATGGACAAATCAATAATCACAATCAATACTTAACATTTGCGTTTCCATTCCGCCTTTCTCGTCTAATCACATCCCGCCAATGAAATTACCACTGATTCCCACCAATTGTGTTCCCCGAGATTCACCACTGGTCGATCCCATAGATCGGCATTCATGCCCATAGTGCTCTGGTTTTCCGCAAGCGAAACATAAACCACTCTTCGGTTTTTTAGGGTTCGTGGTTTCTTTGTCCAGTTATCCGGAGCTGGCATCAGTATTTTGACGCATCTTAAACTTTTGTCGCTTCTGTCGCTGTTCCGTCTCTTGTCCGACGGCCAACCCTCATTTTTGCTTTCCATATGCGTTTTTCGTCACCGCTGTCATTTGCGAGCTCATGGGAGCGATACTCCTGACAAGTTGCCCATCCATACTCTGACTATGATTTTCGACCAGCAATATCAATTTCTGGTGCTGTTGAATCTCGCTAATACCTTCGTCAATTTTCTTTCTGGCATCTTCGAATTTTCTAGCTTCTATTTCCGTTTTTAGCATCTTCTACAGTGTCCAAGACTTTTTCATTATGTTTGTACTGATCCTCATTCGATTTCTTTTTGAAGGTTGGCGATTCCTTGAATTGAATTTTAGTCTCTTCATGTCGCCCATGTATACTTTGCGCGGTGCCATCCTGTGCAGCGCTCATTTCATTTTTCATGACTTCCATTGTCTGCGATATTAGCTGATTGATGGATGTCAACAGTTGCCCGTTATTAGCTTCTATGGCTTGCTGAAAGTGGACTGTTCATTCGGTTGAGCCATGGTCGCCTCGTATCAAAAACAGTTTTACGTAGAGACTTTGTTGTTTAAAATTATTTGAATGAGAATGTGCGGCTGTGGTACATAAATAATAATAATAATAATAATAATAATAATAATAATAATAATAATAATAATAATAATAATAATAATAATAATAATAATAATAATAATAATAATAATAATAATAATAATAATAATAATAATTTGAAAGTAGAGAAAAAGAAGAAACAACTTTAAATTACTGGTTGTGGTGGTTGGTTGAGGGATTTGGCATTTTACGATTTTTCTTGTCGTAATTTAAAACAGGTGTGAATGAATTTTCCTAGCTCAATGATTGTTTTATGATGAAATTGTTTTTGCGTATCTGTTGATCGACTTATTTAGTTGATTACGAGTGAATTGCTGAGTTATGTCTGTCATCGTTTAGGCAGGCAAGGTCCTGGACGGAACTCGACTCAGTGATTTGGAACTAATTACGAGATAACCGTCGCTTTTCGGACTACTATTTCTGACAGTTGGTATTCGTAGTTATTAATGTAGTGAACGATTAATCAAAAGATATGACGTATTCAGTACTTACTGTGATTGGCTTTATGATTGAAGGTTACGCCCTAGAGTCTTTTTACTGCTTTGTAATTGGTTAATGTTTTGAAAATGAATAAAGAGAGTTTTGAGTTGGTTTTGGCGAGTACAGCACGACAGACGCAGTCTAGTCCAGTCCTGGAGAGTCTTGGGCGAGTCTTGAGTCAGCCTTGACTTTTCCCCAGGGCGCTGTGTCTTATTATCTGTACTTTTCGATTTGAAGGATATGAGCCCTTATTCGGAGTTTTGTCATAGCAGCACTATGATTTGGATTTTTGATTGTGGTGAGATATTTTTCATATGCAAATTCTGTTTTAATTTTCCTATAGGCTCGTAACTTGTTTTTATGGTTTCTACATTCATTGTCATCATGTAGTGTTTCTGTGCTATGTATTTCAAAGGATTGTTCTAGTTTGCGCGTTACTGTTTCAGTGATTTCTTGTCATCCAGAGATTCATGGCAAAGGGCTGTATCCAGTCCATCAGATGAAGAATATTATTGAACTGTATCGGTAATTATTGATATACATTTGCTCTTTTAAAAAGCTTGACTTTGTCTAATTTACATATCTTGCTGTTAGAAAAAAAAATCACTTCAACAAATGTGATATGTCCATGCATGATGGTCAATGTCAACATGATACCTCCATGCCCTAATTACTCATGATTGATGAGCGGACTTTAGTAATCGAGCAAAATTGTGCAAGTTATCCAAATTTTGCTCGCTAAACGAGCCCATAAATGTTGAGCGATGTTCCCATGTCATTTGCAAAATGGTGTTTTCGTTATTTGTATTGTGTATATGATAAGACGATTCGCCCGGGCCCAGTCAACGATCGACAGTATACAAGTAGGTGAACTTGGTCGATGGAGCACGTGACATACATGCACGGTTACTAAAAAAACCGTGATACACATGCAAGCCAAAAAAATGTCAAATATGCTAGGCTTCCATTTCTGGTCGAGAACAAACAAGCAAGACAAGAATGCTAACATCGTAAATGTGTGAGCAAATTCAGAAGAACTACAAGCCATACCAACACATGGCAGTCCCTCTATAGGGGTAGTGTGGATAGACGTCAAACATCTATTCAGCTAACATCGGTATCGACAATAATGACGCCAGACGTACGGTACAGATCATTTGT